GAGTAGCTTACACTCTGTGTGCTTCTATCTTCTTATTTTAAAAGCCAGAATAATAGTCTTACATATTTTTATGGACCTAAGTATAGCACTTAGAATACTGCCAGGTATGTTGTAAATAAGTTTTAACTATGCATTCTCTAAGGAGCTCTGGTGGTTTAATGCCTAAAGCATTTGACTGCTAACCGGAAGGTTGGTGATTCAAAGCCACCAGCCACACTGAGGAATTCTGGAAGAAGGAGCAATCTACTTCCGTACAGATTTACAGCCTTGGAAACCCAATGGAGGTCACTATGAGTTGAAGCCAGCCTGATAGCAGTGGGTTTGGCTTTTGGTATGCAGTATCTAAGAAGCCGTGGGAGTGTGGTGGTTAAGCATTGGCTGCTAACCCAAACCTACCAGCTGTAGCTCTGTAAGAGAAAAGACCTGGCAATTGGCTTCTGTAAAGCTCAGAGCCTAGGAAACCCAATGGGGCAGTTTTACTTTGTCCTATAGAGTCACTATGAGTCAAAAATCTATTCAACGGCTCACAACAATTATCCACCTCTCCAGTCATTTATTTGTCTTTTGGAGAAAATGAAAGTCTGCAATGATTGAAACCGTCCACATCATGGCACTATTTCACTGACAAAAATCTCAACAACCTATATTTTACTAGTTCAATTTTATAATAGGATCAAATAAGTTAAAAGGAAAGAAAATGGGACATTCTGACACTTTGGTTCTTTGAACCCTTTGGAAATCATATTTGCAAGGCATTATGGAAAGTCAAATCTTTTCCTACGGGGTATGCTAATGGGTTATGCTGATAACATACTCTGTTATCCCCTAAAGAACATGTAATTTTTTCAAGGGGAAATTTAATGATGTACAGTCTATGTTTACTTTCACAGCACAGGCTTGAGGGAAGAGTATAAAATGAGGAGAACTCCTTTCTGTATTCATAAGATAGATTTTATTTTTGCATGTTTTATCACATGGAGCTTGGGCAGGTTCAGAATATTACATGGAGACACACTCTAGATGTTGGCTATATTACTTACCCTTTGGCTAGCCAAAATGGACTTCATTGGGCTCTCAAGAGGAATACACAGAACCTATTTGCTCTTATTTATTTCACAAATAATTCCAAGAAGCTTGAGATTTCTGTCCCAATCAGATTAAGAATGGAGGTGGAGAAACTTGTGAGAAGAAATAGCAGCTGGACAGTTTGGTAATAGGAGGGAGAAGAAAAAAAGAGAGAAAAGAAAGAACTACAAAAATCATCCTGGAAATATTCAAAAGTATTGCATTCTGGGACTTTCAGCCCAAGGACTTGTATTGCTGTTGTTCATAATTGTGATCAGAATCATCCAGAAATGAATAAATTATACTGATCATATTCTATTTTAAAAGACACACTCACTTGCAATATACTTTAGAATTATTTCCTTGGAATCAGCCACAAAGGAGCAAAGCTTTGGGTTTTAGAAGAGCAAGCATAAGTGTCATGTGGCATGTGGCAATTCTGGCCAGGATGCTTCTGGGGCCTGTGTCATTACTGGCCATACTTCTCTTGTTTGTAGCTGGCCTGATCAGTCCTTGGAATTTACCACTCTACTTGCTGACCTGGAAGATAGCTCCAGCAATTGCCGCTGGGAACACCGTAATAGCCAAGCCCAGTGAGCTGACTTCCGTGACCGCATGGATGTTGTGCAAACTACTGTCTAAAGCAGGTAATTAGGCATGGAAGGAGTGGTGGGACATGGGATTGGCTTTGGGGTTGTAAG